TTACCATTTTTTTTAATTTATTTTGTAATTCATTTTTTTTTTTTTTTGCATTTTTCTACATTTTTTTCCTTCACTTATTTTTTCTTTTATATTTTTCCTTTTTTTATAGATGTATTTTAACAATATTTGTTTACTACTTTTAAAGTTTAGTAATTTTTTTTCTTTTGCATTTTTTTATATTATTTCCCTTCAGTTATTTTTGTCTTTTATATTTTTCATTTTTTTTGTTTCCCACTTGTATTTTAACAATTTTTGTTTATTATTTTAAAAATTTTGTATTTTTTTTATTTTGTTTATTTTCTATGACTCAACTTTTATTTCAGTTTTTAAATTTAATAAAATATTTTAAAAGATCAAATCTTAAAATAAATGTATTTAAAAATATTTTTTATACGAAAATAACAATTAAATATAATTTTTTAAAATAATATATAAAATAAATATAGAAATACTTAAAATAAAAAATAAAAAAAGAGGTCGCTATGACCCATAACGACTTTGTGTTGCTGTGGGCCCTAGCGCCTCCAAGAGATATATAAATTTTATTTTAAAATATTTTGTTTTATTGTACAAAATTATTAATATATTTTTAAACATCAAGTTTTAAAATAATTATATTTTAAATTATATTTTATATTTATTAAAAAAATTAATTATAAAATTTAGTCATTTTAAATGGTTTAGGAGCCTATAACAACACTACCTAAGTCGCTACCGGCTGTAGTGACTTCTGCGTGGCTAAATTTAAGTCGTTCTCAATTTAAAAAAAAAAATTGACACGTGGCACGGTAGTCTCTATGGGCCATAGCGACACTGTAGAAAACAACCCCAAAGGTGTAAATTGTTTCAAAACAGCCCCATTTACGTAAATAGTTTCAAAAAATTTATGATTTTTCAGGATTCGTCACTTAAACTAAAAAAGTCCAATTCCATTGTCATGAATAATATAATTGGGTATAAATGTATTGCAACCTTGACATGTATTATTAAGTCAGATGTGGAATTAGCTCATTAGCTATCCGCAATGAACCACACAACTTTTCTAATAATTATTTGAGAGTTGTAGTCTTCGACTTCATACTTTACTCCACATTGATTAAAGACATAAATGAGACTTAACAAAATTTACTCAAAGAAGGTTTTGAACAATTACCCCCCTAAATTGCCAAAATAAGGTTCCCTTCAACTTTCTAAACAATACATTCTTTTCTAGTAATATGTTTTAATATCTAACATTCCTAACATCAACACCTCAACATGCATTTTCTATACACATTATCCAAAGTCAATGCATACAGAGATCAAATCACACAATCATATATAGTATACTAATGCTTAACACCTAAACCAAGAATAACATACCAATGTTCAACAATTCATCAAAGTATAACACATCAATGTTGAACATTTCATTCAATAATAACATATCAATGCTCAATAATTCATTTAATAATTCATCTAAATATAGCACATCAATGTTCAACATTTCATTCAATAATAGCACGTCAATGCTCATTCAACACTCCAACCATGCAATTTATAGTATATCAATCATACAAAACATATCAATGTTCATAACCATTTCAACTATACAAATATAGCATACCAATGCTTATTATCACCACTCCACACACAACATATTCATCATCATTTAGCCATAAAACAACTTTAACAATAATTGTTCATCACCTAACTCATCCATAAAGTAAACAACCAACTTAATTACAAGGGAAACAAATTTGAGTGAGTCCTCACGTTGAACATAGAATCTCACGCTCAGTCTTGGACTTCCAAAATTTTCAGCATCGATGAAGAATATCTCAACCTCCGGATCCTCTCAACTTATGCAATAATCCATGCATGCAACCCCAAAATCTTTTCAATTTTAACATCTAACTCTAAAATCAAAGGAGAATACACATGCATCAACAACACCTTAAGAAAATCATCAATTTCACAACTTTTCATCAAGAACACCAAAACCCCAAATTCGTCTGTCACCCAATTCGATTTGATTAACACAATCATAAATCTCAAGGAAATTCAAGCAACATACACAAACAAATCCATCAAGGATTGTGTTATAGCTTCCTTAACATCGATGTTGAGCTTCTAAAGTGAGGAGAAGAAAGAGAAAAAATGCGACTTTAAGCTTTTGAAACCAGAGAATAAGAAGAAGGGGAAGAAAGGAGAATATAAGTTTCAAAGCTTTGCACTCAAACAAGCTCAACATTGCACCACTGATCCAAGATTCCCAAGTATCAAGAACACTTCAAAGAGATTCCAACAACAATGACCCCTTTTATATAACTTGTGGACCTAAACAAAGGAGAAGAAGACTTAAAATCTTAACTTGTCCTCTCTCTCTCACTCTCTCATCAACAATCCCCCAAAAGAATGTCTGATTTTCAATATTACATGATATTTGAGCGACTCCGCTCTATGATACTTAACATAGTGACACTAGGGTCGACCTTGAGTATTTTAGTGTCTTGGGCAAAGTGAAAAAATGATGCCTTTATAGTTATTTGAATACTACTTATGACTCAAATTCTAAACCTGAAAGTGTAAAACAACACAAACAACTAAATTTACATTTGCTTAAAAAAATGAGTAAACATATAACACAAGCTCATAATTTAATATTTTATTTGCAAATTATTATGATTTTATATGACAAAATACAATATTTGTTGTTTTTAATATGTAAATTATTATAAATTTATATCACAAATTAGTATATTTATTATATTTGATATAATTTTCTTTTAGTATTTGATGAACAAAATATGTGAGCAAACTTGGCGAGAGATTTTATTTATGAAGAAGACTTTGAGAAATTGGAATATGGCAATGAAAAAAAGTTTTAAATATGACATAAAAATAAGAAGTGTTATTCTTTTGTGTGATGATGAGATAATTAATTAAAATTACTTAAGTGCGCATTTATTTATTTTGTAATATAGTTGTTATTTTTATAAGTATATATCATTTGATTCAACTTTAATCTATTGGAATGATTTTACCAAAAATCTATTTAGTTTGGTGTATAAAATGACAATGTTTTTTAATTGTAATTATTATTTGTTATGATTGTTTTATATTTTAAATTAGTGGTAACAACAAACTGAGAAGAAAATAACAAGTACGTTCAAATAATTTTTATCCTTAATTTGATATAAAAAAATTCACTCCGAAATAGAAGAAAAAATAAAAATTGAAAACCTGGTTTGAGATAAGAACAATTACGAAGGATACACTTATATGTGAAGCAATTAAAGAGAAAGTTATTTTTAAATGAACGAATAAAAAATTATAATATTATTTTAACTGTAATTTTTTTTTTACATATATAACATAAATGTTTAAACTTATATGACAACTATTATGTCAAAAAATTAAATGTTATATGATACAGGTTATCAAAATAATTATTGTACGATACGGGTACCTATCTAATAATATTTTAAAGGAAAATCATCAAAGACATGTTAGAGTTTTTTTTTCTTTTCTTTTCAAATGTTTATAATTGACTAATGATAAGGTTGCTTTCTTAACCAGATCTGCACGTTGTTTATATTTTGATAATGTGATCTGTGTTTTGTCCAGCCAATACTCAAATCTATCTTCACCAACTTCGTCATTCATCCGACTTCTGACTTTCGGGAAAGAAGGAAGAAACCAACAAACTGGGGGTTAAATTTATCTAAAACCCAACCCAAACATCTATTTCCACTGAAAGCTCACAAATTGTCGTATATGTTTTGGTTGAGCACGGGATTTACTATACATATACACATGTTTTGGGTCCAAGTCCTCACGAATTTACTTTTAAACATCACCCAAAAAACTTCTCAATCAATGAAAATAATTATGTATATATAAACCAATGTACATCTTCTTATTTTGAACGATGTGAGATTTTGCTTTCATCCCACCAATTTCTATCATACTTGCTTCAACTCTTAGCCTTAAACAATGTCCAATTACATCTTCGTCTGGGACTGGGCCTCTTTCAGTGATGCCCACACCCTGATGTGATTTAATTATACTGTTTTTTCCAAATATAATTCCACAATTATTAAACCTATATAATTGCTTTACAATTACTAGTTGTATTTATTTTAATTAAAATTAATTTAACAATACTAATCCAAAAAAAACATTTGGAAAACTTTTTTGTAATTCAACTCGATAGCATCTATCCCGTAATCAATTGTGATTTAACTTGATAGCATTTTTTTGTGTGTGATCAGTAACATGATATAGCTTGAAAACTACTACTCCTGAGCTCTCCACCCACGAGGAATCAATCAAAGGTGGTATTCAGGGTGAATATTATCCAATACTCTTCTTGTACCTTTGCTAAATGTTAACAGACAAATTATTAATTTATTTGCATTAAAGGCAACGTCTAAAGACAAACATGAAAGGCAACCTAAAATGTCTTTTATGCTATTCTTTTACAACTTTATTTTTTTTGGTATAATAATTACTAGTCTAGTAATGCTATTTTAACTGAGATGAATAACATCTAATGATTTACACAGTTAATCTCACCTAATAAAACATTGATGTTGTTTTGTTCCGGTGTAAAAATTAAAAATCACCGCGAAAAGGTCATTGTGGTTTTTTTTTTTTCCAATAAAATATAAAATATGTGTATCTAATAATCGTGTCTTCACCGTTCACCCTAGAGTTAAAAAGGTTCGTTGAAAGCACGTGTAACTGAAAAAAACTTTATTGTATGCATTTCTCTATTTTTTATAATACTAATTTATTGTTCGCGAAAAGAAAAATCAACTATGTTCAAAATTTTGTAATGTTAATTAATATAATTGGTTTTAAAAAATAATATTATCTTATCTGAGGTGTTGTTAATAATTAATAAATAGTCTTTACTTAAAAAAGAATAAAAATAAAAGAGAGAATCGAAACGTAAAATAGGGAAAAACCGTAAAAAGAGAAGCATCTTTGGGAGTAAGGGAATTGAATCCCATTCGCATGGTCTGCACAAAATATTGATTTAAAAAAAGAAAAAGAAGGCACGCACTCACACGCGCACCTTTCAGTCTCACTATTTGTTTCCCTCTCCAATCTTCTCCGGTGACTTAAACCAACCAACACAAACTCAAACCTTCTCTCCAGCTCTCTCTTCTTCCTTCCTCCAGCATGAGCTCAATCGCTCAGGTGCTTCTCCTTTCATTCTCATTCAAGATTTACTTTCTTTCTTTCTTGATTTTCGATTTCCTTACGTCAAACCCATTCTTTTTCGTTTCGTTAGGGTTTCACCAAGTCGCTGGCCATGACCATTCTCTCTGAGATCGGCGACAAAACTTTCTTTGCAGCTGCGGTTAGTTTCTACTCTTTTTTTTTTTTAAGTGTTTTTCCCCCTTTCGCCATTTCTAGATCGTGGTATCGGCTGCACCAGATTAATGGGCCGGTTTCTGCGGGCCAGGGTGTTGTTTGCCCTATTAGAGTCATGTTCTGGGCTGAAACTAACTTAGATATAGCTTTGTTTGTTTTTTCTTATTATATTTTTCCTTTTTTAAAATAGTGGTTGAAATTTTACTATGGTACTGCTTAAGTGTTTTAAGTTTAACTTGTTTTATTTTAGTGAATTTTACTGTGAATTTGGGAATATGTATTCGGTTGTGCTTTGTGTTAATTGAAAGTGAAGTAAAACACCTTTCATTGCTCTACTAATAGCAAACAAATGTTGGAGGCCATGTTTGGTGGAGTGAGTTTTAAGATATGTTTAGTGTTATTTATTTATTAACTCATTGCAAAGTTCTTGACAAAGAAGAAAGGCCCTTACTAGTTATCTTTGCAATCTTGAGAGTAGAATTAGAACTCTGACTGTTTGATATTATAATGCTTGTTTCAAGATACTGGCTATGCGACACCCACGACGCCTAGTTTTATCAGGTTGCTTGTCAGCTTTGATTGTAAGCATCTTCTCTTCTCTCTCCTTCTATCCTTGTTTTTGAAGGCATGCTAATTTGCTTACAGTATGATATAGTTTTTTTGTGTATTCTTCCTCCTTTTGAGCTTCATAGTACTTTGTAAACTTTTAAAATTCTAGGTGATGACCATTCTCTCTGTTCTTGTTGGTTGGGCTGCTCCGAATCTGGTGAGCATTCTTTGTTGCTTGTCTCACTTCACAGTTCTCATCATTATTTTTTTATTCTTATAGATATAGATACTTAAGAAGGTGCTATCCTCTATTAGTCAATATATTTTATATAATGAAATTAGATATTTCGCATGTATGTGTTAGAGATGTATTATCTAACTCTTTTCCAGCTATAATACTCTTTCTTCTTCCATGATTTCTGCCTTTGTTGAACTTAATATAATTCTGCAGATCTCTCGTACATGGACTCATCACATTACAACATTGTTATTCTTTGGCTTTGGACTTTGGTCCATAAAAGATGCAATATTTGAACAAGGGTGATTATTATTTATCAGTCGCGTCAACTTCGTAATCCATTTCTAATGAAAATCAGTTTGCATGACTTTTGGACTTGTGCTTGATGATTTTATTCAATGGACAGGGATACTGAAGAATTTGCTGAAGTTGAAGCTAAATTGGTTCGTTTTTCACTTCTATTTGATTTTCTTATTTTAAGTCATTTTTTTTAATTTCTTCTTGACAGTATCCTTTTACTGTGATTAGGATAAAGACTGGAAGGCTAACAATGGAGCTTCAAAAAATAGCAATAAGGTAAAATAGCATCTGTTTAATAAAATTTGTATTACCTTCATTCTCTCTCTGTCCTCCATGTCATACTCTTCTGATTCTGAGCATGTATGGGGCACTTGGATAAACAACATAGTTAAGCACTTATGCAATAAGATCTTATTTAACGAGAGATTATTCCTAAGTTTGATCATGAAGTTTGCTGAAATAAGCTAAAAAGAGCTTATTTTGAATTTTTATAATTTCTCCATGAATTTACCAAAATAAGCTATGAAAGAGCTTATACGAAGTTAAAAGCCACTCTCATAAACCTACACAAGCTTCTCGAAACACCCACTATATATATGTATGTATATATATTAATTGAAGATATTTTGTTTAAGAGCTGAATGAGAATTTTATTCAACTTATTTCCAGTCTAGTTTATTAGGATTATGATATTATAAAAACAGAATTCTCAGATGCTATATATTTGTTCTAATACTGTATATTCTGGGCATCTCATCTCGCAGGTTGATGATGCCGCCAAAAAGCATAAACGGTCGTTTTTATTTCAATTTTTTTCTCCTATTTTTATACAGGTAATTAATTAATAATAGTATCTCTATACAGTTTGTTAGCTGAACTGGGTTAAATTTGATCCCCTTTATCATCTTTATTCTACAGGCATTTTCTATCACCTTTTTTGGTGAATGGGGTGACAAGAGCCAGGTGAGTTGTGTAAGCTTCATTATTGGAGACTGCTGCATCACTTAATTAAGCCTAACATTTTCTGTTTCAGCTAGCTACCGTAGGTTTGGCTGCAGATGAGAACCCATTTGGTGTGGTTCTTGGAGGGATTCTGTAAGTTTTGATTTTTCATTCATCTATCTTTATTCCGGAGTCAACCTATTTCCTTTGGGATTTTGACTATTTTTCCTTTGGTTACCATGGTGGCATTTGTTATTTCAATAATTTGTTGCTGTAATTCTGAAATCCGAATACACGTGTATGTTTCCTTGCAAATGCATTATTTGTTGGGAGGCATAAATATGTATCAAGGTTGTTACATGCCTATGTCCTGCAATTTTGTAGGAGAGGAATCTCAAGTCTTAATTGCTTTTCACAGGGGTCAAGCATTGTGCACTGCTGCTGCTGTTGTTGGAGGGAAGAGTTTAGCCTCTCAGATATCTGAAAAAATTGTAACAACTATTACTCTTTTTTATTTTCAGTGCTTGTTGTCTATCTGTTTTTCCCCCTTTGTCTTTTTCGTTAACTTTTTTCATACTCTATCTTGAAAAATGCTCATACATCATATTCAAATAATTTCAAAATAAGTTTCAGACTACCTGGAAACAATAGGAACAATAAAACAGAGTATATAAGAATTAATGGAAAAGTTGATAGAATAATGAAGAGTATGCAATATGTGAACACAAATACAACATTATAACCATGAGTCTTTAGAACACTTTTTGGGTTGTTGTGTGCAATTCTAGTTTATCATATTATTACTGGTATAGCATTAAGCTAAGCGTGTATATCATCTAAATGTTGTACTCAATACTTTGCAGGTTGCACTCTCAGGTGGAATTCTTTTCATTGTTTTTGGAATTCAATCATTCCTTTCTCCAGTCGAATCATGAAGGCTGTACAATTGGTTAGTGATTATTATTTCTGCATTTATTTATGGGATATATTTAAGAAATATGTCTGTTACAATTGTTGAGGTTGGTTGACAAAAGACCTGAACTTCGTGCCACCCTGGGTCAATGATTTCATTCTTTCGACCCTTTTAGAGTTCAAAATAAAGTTGCCATTGTAGAACCAAACCAAATTCAATATATAAAGTTAATTTGAATGGATTATTCTTTTTAAACATAACACTTGCCTGCACTTGTTATATTCCTCCCTTCATTTATTAAATCCATGTGCAAGTTTCCAATTGTTATTTGCCGGAGGAAAATAAAGGACCAGTTTGGGCAAAAAAAAAAAATTGTCTTCAGCTTTCAAGGTTGTTTTATTGATGTGCCCTTAGGCTGTCTAATTTGGTAACTACGAGAATGCCTCCATATTGGAGGAAGTGATAAAACAAGAAGGATATAGAAGGAGGGTTTGAGAGGAGGAAAACCAAGCTTGCTTGTATGCATATTTACACTGTTGGATCAATGCTCTTGGGGTGATTTTTTTTGTTCATGCTTGTGTAGAGGGGATGGAAAGCCTTTCCTTCATTGGAGCTGTAATTCAAACGGAGACTGGTAGGATGTCACAACTCATTATGTACTCAATTTGGGTGCACTTAGTATGTACAATAATCTCTCCCTTGTAAAGGGAAATTCACTTAAAAGTGGATAGAACCCCCCAAAGTGCTGTAACTTGACTGACTATCACGTTATTTTGTTGAATCTCACAAGGCTGATCTTTAGTTTAGCAAGTAGCAGTTTCGCACTGTTTCCCCCTAAAGTGTCAAGTACCATTGTTCAAGTTTTGCTTGATCTTGACCCTGATAATTTCAACGATAACAAGCTTAAAATCCTAGTTAACCGCCTCACCCCAAAATCAAAACTCTTTATGTTCGATGTTCATGAAGTTAGTGACGGTGACCTGCCATGATCTCCAACCTCTTGCCTACTATATATATAAAAAAATCCTTATATAATTAGAATTTCCAGAGACACCACAATCCAAAATAATTCATTTTCATTAAAAGTGGGCTTGTTTTGTGTTGTCATGCCACCAAGCCGATGTTCGACCAGAAATAAGAACTTGTTCATGACAGAATTAAAGCTTTGAAGGTGTGTTTCTCCATACGAAATGTACACAATTAGTTAGGCTTAAAATATTTGGCCTAAAATTCAAAGATGCATTTGAGGTGTAAAGTGTGGAGCATAGTTTTAAATTCGGCCCGAATTGTTCAATTTGACTTGTTAAATTGATAATTAGTTAGGTCGTCCATAGTGTTGATGAGGTAAAAGAAGGATGAAATTGGGATGATGAAAACGTACACGACCTGAATAATTGTTTGCAACAATGTTAACTGGATCGTGTCATGTTCATTTTTGAAAAAACAATAAGTTTTCAATATTTTGAAAGTTTCTAAAAATAAAAATATTTCTAAAATCCGGCATTTGGGCTTGGGGGTAAATCACATTTGGATTAATTTTCTCGGGTACGGTTTCAAATAATATTTGAAATATATAAATCTTTTACAAGCTAGGCCTAATATTAATGTTTTTGCCTTAAGATGGTAGCAATATTTCCATATGGTCGTTTGAAAATATAATTACCAGTGAACCAAACATCGCTTAGTGTTAATATTTGCTTTTTAAAACTTTTATAATTTGTACACTTGTTAAAATATGTATCTGATTGAAGTCGTTAGAGCTGAATTATTGATGAGATTATAATCGCACTTTTTATTTTTTATTTATTTAAAACTTAAGTTGACTTGATTGCAATCCAATCGCCAATTGAATTATTATTTAGTTGAGATTATCTAAAAAATCAGGTTAATTAGTAAAACACGAAATTGCAATACAGATGAAACGAGATTGACTGCAGGAGATTCAGATTCCTATAACAACGGATATAGATTTCCGGGACTGCATGATCTTACTATCCAATGGTTTCAATATTTTTGTGGGTTACCAAAACACTATTTGATTTTTCGGCTGTTGAACTCTTTTTTTGGGGGTTTATACATTTAATACCATTAATATTCAAGAAAACACTCTTATTTGAAGCTGCTTTCATTGAATAACAATAATAAAAGACCTTGATCATAAATAGCAAACTAAATAAAAAAATAAGAAAAAAAATTCAAGTTCTCTTAATGAGCTAGCTAATTAAAAAGAGTTACGTCTTTCTTTATTTAGAGTTGAATGAATGTGATGATTGAGAAAAAAGGAAAATGAGAAAAAGAAAAAGAAAAAGAAAAGTCTGTCCGAAGAAGATTTGCAAGAAGGTGCGTGAAGGCAAACACAATGCGTATTGTGTGGTGAGCAGCCTCTGACCACAAACCAAACCTTTAACGTCTCTCTAACACAACAGTTGCATGTGTAATAAAATCCCACACAATAGAATAGAAGAAGATACCTCGGAATCTTCGATTCTTCCCTCATATTTATCCTTCACACTTCCCTCCATAATAATAACAACAAACTCTGCATCTCCAATCTCCAATCTCCAATCTCCAATCTCCAATCTCCAATCTCCAATATAATAAAGAGAATGAGAGCGCTAAATTCGCACGTGCTGCTCATAGATCTCCACTACCACCACCACGTGCCTACCTCAACACTCGCTTACCTCAGAAACTCCCACTTCATATCCTCCCTCCGTCCACGTTCCCGAAAAGCCGGTCTCCGATGTTCCGCCTCGCCGGAGATTCGCCGCCCCTCCGATCGCTTCTACGCCTCCTCGCCCTCCACTTCGCGGCCGGAGGACCTCAACCTCTTTCTCGAACTCCTCCCTCTAAAGATGCGAAGGGAACTCTATCGCCACAGCGAAATCGGAGGCCTCATAGAGGTCGTCATGGACTTGGGCCGAAAGCCCCTCGCAAGGTTCCCCTCCGGGGATTGGGTCATCTCCGAACAGCCCATCGTGCACGAGGATTTGCGCCACGCCATTTCCAAGGTAGTAATGATTCGCGGACTCAAATTGTTTTTGTTGTTGTTGTGTTAGTTTAGTTGTGGTGAGTGATGTGTGGTCATGATTTAGGTTGGTGAGTTTGCGGATGACAACCGGTCGGGTATTGATAGGTCTTTGCATCGGATAAGTGCGATTCGGAATCGTAAAATGCAAATCATTGGGCTTACTTGTCGGGTGGGTCGAGCTGTGAATGGGAGCGCTGAAATCATACGTGATTTGGTTGAGGATGGAGGTTCTATTTTGGTCATTGGACCTCCTGGAGTCGGTAAAACAACCTTAATCAGGTTAAACATTCATCATTATTAGCCTACTAAACTTTAATGTTGTTACTGTGTAAAAGTATTTTTTTTACATTCTATATAATCACCGATTGTCATGTATAGTAAGTTTGTTAGATTTTTTTAAGTTGAATTTAGTAAGAATGTTGTGACAATATAAAAGGTTCTGATCACCAATTACTGTGTATGGTACATGGTATGGTAACTGGTAAGTTTGTTGATTTTTATAATCACTATTTAAAAATCTTATTTAAGATGATTTCTGATTGGTGGATGGAGTAAACATTTTTACACTGACAATGTAGGAAAATTAAGTCCAACTTTAGCCATTTTCTTAGGTGCTTTTTACATGATTTACTTGTCTGAAGAAGCTATTTTTTTTGCAGGGAGATTGCTAGGATGCTGGCTGATGAGTTCAGGAAGCGTGTTGTAATAGTGGATACATCGAATGAAATTGGAGGTGATGGAGATGTTCCTCATGCAGGAATAGGCACGGCCAGGAGGATGCAAGTTCCAAACGTGAATATGCAGCATAATGTTCGTACAAATCTCAGTCATTTTTGCCTTACACTTTTAGTAGGGGTGGGCAAAAAAAACTAAACTGAACTGAACTGAACTGAACTGGTGGTGAACTGTACTATAAAAAACTGAACTGTTTGTAAAAATACTGAACTGAACTGTTTAAAAAAAAACTGAACTGAACTGAACTGTTATAAAGTTGAACTGTACTAAACTATAAAAACTGAACTGAACTATAAAAATTGAATTATTTTTATAAAAGAATAAAAATTAAATGTGTTTAACATATTATGTCTTAATGGATTAGCTCGATAGTCTAATAACCAAAACTTAAAAAAAAAAAGTGATCTGAAAAAAAATTGTATCAATTTTGTCGAACTTAACGGATCAATTGAGCTATGTTGAACTACTTATTTTTAGGCTTAAAATTTACTGAGTTTGTTTGACTTAATTTTATATTTTTTCCTTTGAAAAATTTAAATAAAATAGAAAATAAAGTAAAGTTGGCAAATGTGTCCTATTTTGATAGATCAATGAGTCAAAATTGTTCAATTCAAAATATCATAACAGTTTAGTGCAGTTTAAATTGTAGTTCAGTTCAAGTTTTTATAGTACAGTTCAGTTCAGTTCAATGACACAAAAGAATAGTTCAGTTCAGTTTGTCTGAACTAATGTTTAGTTTAGTTCAGTTCATATTAACTACTTTTAAGTTCAGTACAGTTTTTATAAGTTCAGTTTAGTTCAGTTCGTTTTGCCCACCCCTAACTTTTAGTTGATTGCTTCTTATTGGGACATCTTTCATGTGTATTTGTGCAGGTTATGATTGAAGCAGTTGAAAATCACATGCCTGAAACCATTATAATTGATGAAATTGGAACAGAGCTTGAAGCATTGGCAGCCAGTACCATTGCTCAAAGAGGAGTTCAATTGGTTGGAACGGCTCATGGAATGACCATTGAAAACATAATAAAAAACCCTTATCTTCAGAATCTTGTTGGTGGCATAGAGGTTCAGAGCTGCACTTTTCATTTTCCTTTCACTTTTATTGTTCTGGCCTCCTCCTGTTTCGGAGAGTCCGATCTTAAACTTTCAGAGTGCTTTTTCCACATTTGTAATATTTATTGAGCATTTATTTGAATAGAGCGTTACCCTTGGGGATGAGGAAGCCAGGAAAAGGAAAGTGCAGAAGACAATTCTTGAAAGGAAAGGACCTCCTACTTTTACATGTGCAGTTGAGATGATATCTAAAACTGAATGTCGTGTTCATCATAGATTAGATGCAACTGTGGATGCCATTTTGGCAGGTATTCCTCACCTTCTATTATGGAGTATCTCAATTGACATCTAATGGATATAGTATTTGCATAAAGTGTAATTAGAAAATCTCCTTCATTAACAGGAAAACCACCATTATTTGAAGTCCGTCAATGGGATGATTCTGCCAATGATTTGCTAAAATATGCTCCAGAGCCTGAAAATAGTCTTGGAAAAACACCTGATTTAACTAACAATAATATCACGAGTTCTGACATTGCATCTGGTAAGGATGATAAAGACCATACACGTACTTGGTCCACAAAATGGAGTACTAGTGGATCTGTGATAAAGAGGAGTTCACCGATGCAAGTTTATACTTATAAGGTAAATTGTTTGAGGTTGCATGTAGTGGGTAAATTCTTGAGTAATTGGGCACTTTATCGGGATTCAGGAGCTTTATAGTTGTCTCATTTTCCATGTTGCACAGATTTCATACATGAAAGAACAAATTGTCCAAAGATTTTCTTGATACTTTTTTTTTAATGACCACTGTTTTCTTGTTGAATAAATTTAGATTCTTGAAGCTGATCTATTACAAGTAGCAAAGGTAATGGGGCTTGAAGATGTAGTAGATGTGACTGATGACATTGGATCTGCTGATGCAATTCTAGCATCCAGTTCTGAGATACGACAGAACCCATGGATTCGTGGCGTTGCAAAATTCCATCATGTACCTGTATTTGTTATCAAGGTGCCTTCTTGTTGCTCGGCATCTGTAGCTATTTCTTCAATGTGAGTCAACTCATGTCTTATAACGAACTTTTGTTTCTTTCAGTCCAACACCATGGCACAAATGGTAAAAGCAGTTAGAATGATCCTTGGGCTAGAATCCTTTAGCCATACACCAAAGAAGCCATTAAATGACAGCTTGGATATTGAAATTGAGGATGATGAACCAAAACGAAAACCATCTCTGGAAGAGATTGATGCCTTGGAGGTACACACCCTTTACATTCATTTAGCTAGTTTCGGATTTCTCCTCTTCAAGTTTCATTTTTTGTTGCGGAATTAAACTATACGCTGTGTACTAGCAGTTCTTACCTTTGCAAAGATAATGCACTTGGCAATTGATTTAATGTCTGGCTTTCTGCATTGAAGGCCAATTGAGATTTCCCTGATACATTGCATTCATTCATATAATAGAAGGCCTAGAGTATTATATCTAGAAAAAATAATATATACATTGTAAAAGATTTGTATACTATAATCCAATCTTAACCTGTCTTGACTTTGATTGGATAATTTTCTCCATAAGTATTCATACGATAAGAAAAATAAAAATAAAAATGGAATAAATTTTTTTAATGTTAAAATTAGCTTATTCACAAGTTAAAATCAAAGCTTATTTTAACTTATGCATAAGCTAAAATAAAGGTCCTTTTCCTTCTGTTTTTATTTTCTATTTTCACAATTTTATTACAAAATTACCACTTTACTGTTTTTCAAAAATTGTACAAAAAATAAAGAGAAAAAAAAAATATTTTTAGTGTTTCTATTCAATTCTTTGAAAACAGGAAACAAATTGAAACAAGGAGTAGTTTTGTAATTAAAAAAGTTGAAAGCACGAGTTAATGACCCTTATTTCAAATTTTCTTTTTCTATTAATGTCTATGGAAAAAACTTTATATGTATGATAAATTTGTTGATTTTTATAATAATTACTTTAAAAATTATATATCAGATGATTCTTGGTTGACAATGTAAATTAAATTTACATATTACATGTCTATTAAACTCTTATATCTAAATCTCTTTTGTGTTGGCATTATTTGAATTTCTGGCAGGAGGTCCGGCTTGCAATAGAGTACATTGTGATTCCTGGTGGAGAGCCCGTGGAACTTCTTCCTAGACGTTCTGAAATCATTGCCCGGCAGCTTGAACTTGTGCAAAGTTATCAGTTGGCTGCTGAAAAGTCAGGTACTGAACAGAACCCCAGGTTGCAGATTCTTCCCTTGAGGCTAAATACAAAAAAACCCTCTAAATCAACTTCTATTTCCCGCAAGAAAACAAGTCCTACCTCAGCCTCTACTGGCGCCAATGCCATTGTCACCAGGCTTCCTATTTTGCCTGAATAATTCATTTTTTTTTCCCAATTCTAACTTATTTCACTTCACTGGTACGTACATGTATGTATGCAACATGTACAGTCATGCAAGTGGTGTAAATAATTTATTTATAGCCAAAAGGCTTGTATTATAGCTCAATTGGGGTGTGACATTTATGACGGAAGTTTGATCCTCCGCCAAACTGCCGTTTCTTGTACCCAGGTATATATACTGAAAATATCAATCCACATAAATGTAATATTTCATGATTTTACTCCAATTATGTTCAATGTATTATGGTACACATGTATTAGTTCGTTAACTTTGAGCATTAAAAATACAGAAATACTAAAGATCCTGATATGAAAATCCAAGTTAATTGGTTAAAAGTTACTTTGCTTTCTTTTTTTGTCATCTTTTCTGTTAACTTCTCTGGCGTCAGAATAGCAATATGCCAGATTGGAAATAAATGCTGTTGTCGCCCCAAAGGTTGATATTGGCCCTTGGGTCATACAGATTTATTTGGAACCTCTCTCAGGATGGAAATTTTACTACAAAATCTGCTTATCACCTAATTAAAAATGCTAGCTCCCTCAACCTTCAAATCTTGACTGGAAGAGTTTTTGGAAAGCCAAACTTCATCACAGGCATAAAATTTTTCTGTGGAGAATTATCCAGGGGGAATTACCAATTATGTCTCATCTTGCCCCAAAAAAGGTATCATTTCTGACTCTATTTGCCCAATCTGTCATTGTTCTGATGAGTCTCTGATCCATGCTTTAAGGGATTGCAATAGAGTGGCTGGTGTTTGGAAACACTTCAAACCACCCCTGAATTTTTTGGTGTGGATTATTGATTGGGTTTTACTAATTATGGCCAACCAAACCAAGTGGAGAATGGCATTCCTTGGCCAACTGTGTTTGCTGCTATACTTTATGAGGTTTGGCGCCTACCTAGGCTACTTTTGATGTTAACTTCATGTTTTGCAAAAAAACTCGCCAAATTGCTACAGGTTTCAACATGACTATCGGCAACATGCATGGGAATACCAATCACTCAAATAATCGAACTACCTTCTTCACAAAATGGATTCCTCCTCCCATAGGTTGGGTTAAATGTTACTCAGATGGTTCTGTTTTCCATTCCACGTCTACTACTGCATGTGCAGGTACCTTTAGAGATCACTATGAAAATTGGCTATAAGGTTTTCAGAGGAAAAGATAGGCTTCACTACAGTTCTTATATTCTAACATCTTTGGAAGTTGCTTGGACTATGGGAATTAGGAATGGGTGCCATAAAAATCACCGAAGTTCGCCCATTGTTTACAGCATAAATGGGTACAAGCGATGTTTGCCATAAAAATCCTAAGTTCATTCTTTGATGTTTCTTCATGATTGTATTGCCATTCCAATGCCACGTTCTGTGTTTAGTTATTTTTTGTTTTGGGGCTTAGGCCCTCCTTGTTACGAAAAAAATAAAATAAAATAAAGTAGCAATATGCAGTGTTGGTTACTTAAAAAATCAATTAAAAATATCATTAGAGCAAATGAGACTTGTTAAAGAATTTGTTTGCATAAACATCAATTTCTGAATATTGTAATTTGTAAGTAAGTATATATATATATATTACTTCTTAATTTTAATAATTTTCTTTTGTAAGGTTGTTGTGCATGTATTAAAAATATAATTAACATTTTGGATTTTATAAATTTCTTATTATACTCTTTATATTTCATATTAATTAGGTTATCTCTTTTTTATAATTCTTTTATACTTTCTCATTCCATAATAAATAGTTAAAGGTATAACAGAAAATATATATTTAATACGTCATTAATATTGTAAAATGATATTTAAAAAAAAACATAACAAAACAGGACAGAAGGAATTTGTCAAAAATATTTTATAGATATTAAAGGACACTTAATAGGTAAAAACATAAGAAGCGTGCACTCATTTTATTAAATTACTCGTATGATTTTGTTTGGTTTTATTCTTTATAATTTTTTTTTACCATTTTATTAAATTACTCGTATGATTTTGTTTGGTTTTATTCTTTATAATTTTTTTTTACTTAATTATGTTTCTATTCTATTAAATTATATATATATATATCCCCAAAATTTGTAATTTTAATTCATGTAATTTTAAAAATATTATTTTAATTCTTTCATATATTTTTCCCCTCAAATTTAAAATTTATATTTTTTAGTCTCTAAAATATTAAAAAGTATTATTTTAGTCTTGATGTTTAATTGATGGTAAATTTATTAAATACAACTCACTTATTCACAAAATTCTCCTATAAGTGTCTTTATTAATGAAAACATTACACTAAATCTAAGTTTTTTTATATCTTAAAATAACTTTAAAAAATAATTAGTAATTATCTCAAACAAAGTTAATTTTGTATGCGCTGAGTATCCTGCCCAACACTCTCCCATGTAATTGAAAAAATGATTCATTTTTTGTAATATAAATATGGCTGCCAAGCATTTTGCCTATTTTATATAAATAAATAAATAAAAATTAAGTACACACTTATTTTGATTCTTCGATTTATAAGGCATTTAGTTACTTCTTTGATTCCTCGATTTAAAAGACATTTAATTACTGAAATTAAAAAAAATCAAAATAAATTATTAATATATATATATATATATTAATTATATTAGTAATAATAATAATACTATATATAAGGAGAATAATTAAATTTAAATTATTTATCATTCTAAAAACTTATTTGACAATATTTTTTTTTGAGGGAAATAAGATTATGTCATTTCATTCAAAATAATTGGGACAATACATGAGGGAATAAATTCAAAAATGTGAGAGTTAGCATAACGTCGTGACACCCTAGCTAAATAGTGAGTGACCCGATTGGCTTGCCTCGGAATGAACTTTAGTGATAAGTTCGGATGATTGTGTAGCAATCTTCTACACTTATTAAAAAGAGACCCATATTCTGAGTGGTGTGATTGAGTCCTAGATAGAGCGTCAAGGACAGATTTACAATCCGACTCAAGGGTTACGTGGGTGAGGCTCAAAGTTACTATCCATTGGATGACTGTAAGTAGAGCTGTAGCTTTAGTCTCATGAATAGGTGGAAGGCCATGAGCCCAACTAGTTTTGGCTGTGAGAAAATGTCCATGATCATTTCAAATGCACATGCTATACCCAAAACAGGATGAGTCCTAGAAGAGAGCAGCATCAATATTGCATGTCAACATCCCTACATGGGGCTTTTTTCACTGTAAATCGTGTACAAGAGGGATCCTTTGTGTTGACGATCTTGCTTGTGCCACTTGCCAATCCCGAAAATGCTGCTTTGCTTGTGAGATGGCTACACCTAAAGGTGGGCTGCCCTGATCCCAAATCTTAGCATTTCGACGCGTCCAGATACAACCAAGCGTGACCACGACTTCAACTGGCTTTGAGATATGCTACCAAGTAAGGAAAAGATGACCTCTACAATTCCTTCACCTACATCTACTAAAGGTTTAATATGTTGCCATATGCCAGTTGCTTGTTGCTTGCCATACGGTCTGTGCTTCTTGACAACCAAAGAAAATGTGTCAATTATTTTTTTGTGCAGCTTCACAGTGGGGACAAAGGGAGGTACAAGGGACTCCCTTTTGATGAAGGCGTTGGCGTGAAGGAAGACAATCTCTAAAAAGTCTCCAAAAAAAGATTTTCATATTATTAGGGATAGGTAAAGCCCATAAATTTTTCCAATCACCAAGGAGCCTTGAGATAAAGTTGCATAACAGAGACTCCATAATAAGATAATAAGCAGATTTAACAGAGTACGAGCATTTCTTGTTGAGATTCCACGTGAGTGTATCTACTTCGTCAAGCTGGAGGAGTGAGATATCTTTTATTGCATCAACGTCACGTTGGTTAAAAAACTTATATAACATCTTTAAACTCAAGACACAATAAGTGTTTATTCTATATAATAAAAATCGAAAGAAAAGATTACTCCAAATCTCGATTTTCCTTCAAAATCAAGACCGAAAAGCAAGGAAATAAAATATTGTAGGTCACTTATTTTTATGATATCTCCTTAATTTCTTACTAAACAAATGAATGAAATATTAAATATTCTTTCTCTCTTAAATCTGTTTCTTAATTAATCATTAGAATTTTTTTAATGGAAAGTTAAGATAATATATACAACATAATTGTCATCGAAATTCTTATATATATATATATATAATCTGTCTCTTTACTAAATAACTCAATGCCAGTATTTGTGATACTGATAGTAGTATAGTACTTATGTAACTTTTCCTCTATTGTCTATTCATCCACATTTTCGCTAGCGAATATCATTAACGTAGCGGATATTCGAACATACCAACGTGTTTTAAAACCATAACAATAAATTAAATCATACAATACAATCTAATTGTAAAAATATAATATAATATAATATCAAAATCATATAATATTATTTATTAATTAATTTAAAGCTTTTATGACTAAAATAGTATTATTATTAATATATTTTTATTTATATATTTTGTTATAATTAATTAATAAAAATTAAATATTTTACAAATATATCTGTATCATTATGTGCTTTCTTACGAAAAAAATATTATTAAATAAATAAAGATATATTTTATCTCATCTTAAAATGTTAGAAAAGCATAATATTCATGACATAATTACAAAGTATATATTTTGGTATCCATATCCACCGAATGAATATTCATCCTATTTCAAATAATAGGTATGGATATTTACAAATGTGAGTTTTTTTTTTTTGTCATTCCAGTCTTTTACTTTCTCTTTTTATTATTTGAATTTTAAAAAATATTGTCAAAGATATTAAATTCTAAACAAATATGTTTATAAATTTTTATAATCATTTGAATTTTAAAAAAATATTCTAAAAAATATTTGGTTTTAATGTGTTTATAATCCCCTCCGGTTATAGTTTTCCCAAATATCATTTTTCCAAACTTAAGAAACAAACACGACCTTAAAGTTTAAAATAAAAGAGTTTCATTTTTGCGTTTCGTGGAGTTGTTGAACTTCGAGGGTTTCCTTCACAACACTAAAAATCTCTCTGCAATTTCGTTTTCCAGTGCTACTCGTGTAAGTATCTCAAAATTCAACTTGCAGAAGTTTTTCTTCACCTTGCTTTCGTTTAATTGATTTTTAAACTGACGGCATTTGAATTGTGGTGGTTCAGGATTTGGTGTGAGTGATGGCTGGGAAGGAAGAGAATCGAATATTTGTGGGTGGTTTATCTTGGGACGTTACAGAGCGTCAACTCGAGCATGCCTTTGCTCGTTACGGCAAAATTCTTGAATGCCAGGTATCTCTCTTCTCTTCAATTTCCCAGAGAAATATGCCACATTTTATAGTTAATATGAAAAGGGGATCTTGTCTCTTAGGGTTTCCTGATGTCAGATATGCAGTTTCTCGAATTAAAACCAGAAGGAGGGATTTTACCTTTTCTATTATTTTTTTTTTACTTTTTTTATCTTTGACGTCTTATTGAATCTAACTGCTTATTGAAAAGAGAGGAAAAAAACAGTTATAATTATAATTTTGCATGATACTATTAAGAAGAGATCCTGTTCAGTGCTGTTGTCATGTAAGGATAGCGGCGCTTGTATGTTCTGATATTGGCCGAGTCTTCTGCTTAGGGATTTTTTTTAAAAACTTTTTATGATAGTGTTTTGTACTAATTTTATTTTTTTTCATTTCTTTTCTGTCTTTCTGGAATGCGGGTTTATGATCTTTGAGATGCTGTAGATGGATTTTTTAAAAGATCTTTACCAGAATGATTTCTTCATGGCTGAAGCTCGTCTTCAATTTTCTAATAAAATGATAGTTTGTGGTAACTATAGAGCTCGAGCTGGAGATTAGTGTGGTTTGGAATTTGGTGCAAGGAAGGTAGTTAAGTAAATATCAGTCTGACCCGTCTGATATTCAGCAGAGAGATTTCTTGCCTTTGTTGTGCTTTTGATTCATTAGTAAAATTGTTATAATTTGGAATGGGTTTTTGGCTGTATGGGCAGACAAGTGACAACTGGACAAAGCTAATATCATAACATGCACTTTGGAATTTTTTTTTTTTATACTTGTTTAGTACGGCTCACAGATCTATGCCTTATTTGCATGATTAATGAACTGAGAAGTACATGACATTTTTTCAATTGAGTTACACACTTACACAATTCTTTCGGGTAAAGAATTTTTTTCTCCTGTTCCAAGTCCAAACAAAAGAAACCATGTCTTGTCTCTGTACATGGCTTCCTTCCTATTGTAGTAGTAAATCTATCATGTGATAGCGATTGTTACTGGTGGGATATATAAGAAACTTCTTAAGCTGGACATTCCTTCTTTTGTTTCTGGCTCTATATATTATTCTCCACTATAGTTGTAGGAAATTATAAGAAGGGCATCAAAGATTGCCATCTCACATAATGCCTTTTCAATTTTTTTTGTCCCTTTGATATATTGATATGAACATTGCTTATACTGGTTTCTTTAGTTGTAGAGGCATGGGCAACAGACGTGCCATCTTATGAACTGACAATGCATATGCTAAGGTGGCATTTCTAGTGGTCCTGAAATTTGGAAAGATTCAGATACATCATACATAATGCAGTTCCTGATGAAGAAAGTAATGTACTCTGTTTTTAGTGGAAATGAGAATTGCCCACTAATGTATTGTTCCCCTCAAAGTATAGATAGATCCATTTCAATGGGCTGTGTTTGTGTGGTGCTCAGTAGACCAGTTAAAGTGATTTTGTTACGTGAGTTCAAGAAGTCTTGTATATTTGCTTCAGTTAAGCAATCCAATCTTGCTGAACGTTTGGCAGTTTTCAATAGTTCCTCATAGCAATGTAAAGCTCAGGTGTCAGGTGTTTGGACATTGTTTTTGTGTCTGGTTGATGTCATCACTCTTGTAACATATACTTGTAGATATCCAATCCATGCGAGAGCTGAAAATTTTCATTCTGAAGCATTTGGAATCATAGACACTTGCTGCTCAGATAACGGGTTCCTCTCTTCTTGATGAGATACTGTATCTCACCAGTTGGTCTGCCTACTATAGCTAGCAGTGTTGAAGGTTGAATGGATGCCTTTGATTTAGTCATTACTTTCTACCTTGGAATAGAGTTCAGTGGTTGGAGATGTTTTCTTTGGTTTTGAATGGTTCTGCTTTTGTCAGTGTACTGTGAGACTGCCCATCTGCTTAAGAATGGTTGTCTGCTAAAATGCCAGTGTGTTGGATAAGTCAGTTGAGAGGAACAGAATTATCTAGGGTGATAGGCATACAATCGCAGTATAGTCATTAATATGCATTGATCTCCTATGTTGGTGAGTATTATTTCCACATTAGATTGATTATTTTTTGCATCTGTTTGAGGTGAATAAATCACAGAAGGTAGATGAATTGCTCAAGAAGTGAAACATGATCTCCATAAGGAACGCTGAGCCTGAGAATACCTGTCTTGCATTTTGTCTTACAGAATTGTGGAAAATTATATGCTGGCAGAGAATTTTTTGTTTTGAAGAGATATCCAATCTGGAACTCGTCATAAAATTGATTACAACAAAATGATCTGGTGACTGCTGAAGTGAAAGATACAGTTGGATTTTCATGATATACCATTGATTTGTTGCTGCATATTGTGTAATGTTAGTTCTTGGGTCAGAAAATAGTAGTATCCAATATAATACGGTGCTTTTTTCACATAAGTCAGATGCTAAGATTATTTTGAGGGATTAGATTGTTAAAGGTCAATCATGAAGTCATGAACCAGTTTGGAACATGTTGAAATTCTAGCTCAGAATGTGGAATTGTTGTAAGAGAGGTTTGTTGTCAAATATGGGCTCAGAATTCCTCTGAATGGCTTAGCTATATGAAAAAACCATTCTGGTGCTTTATCATTGTAACAGAGAAGTAAGTAGTTTTGTTATAAGTTTCGCTTTTTAATTAAATGCTATTTGCATCTAGTAAATAAAATACTAAAATTAACATGCAACGGACAACTTTCTTCAGTCATATGGTCCCTTTTGTGTATGCATAATACTTTTTTGAAACTTAATGTCCATTTCAAATATTTTTTAATTCTTTTCATGTAAGCATCATTTCATTGACTATCAACAATTTGGAGTTATAATTATGCTGCAATTGTGTGATTTCTTTCTTGTGTTTTTATCTATTTTAGTTTGGGTGGTAGGTGAGGGGTAGTTTAGTGGATGGTTTAAAAGCCTTGTTTAATTGATGCCATCTGTGTAAATGTCTGAGATTATTTTCAGAGTAGGAGTCTTGGCATAAACTCACAACATTAAAAAAAACATATATCAGGCAACATTAATGGATGACACTTGTGTGTTTATTAGAAATTGGTAGATCAACATTGTGATCGACTGGGCTCCAAATTTTGTAATTGAAATCTTATAAATTGATACTTTTGTGATTGTTAACAAGCAATCATCAGCCACAACAGTTTCTTTTAGGCCTCCAATTTTGCCATGCAATTTGTAAAGCCTTTATTTTTGGCTGTGTGGGTGGAGAGTTTACCTTGTCTATCTTTTAGTTTTTATCTCCTGCGTCCTCATCTTGTTTGTATGATGTGGTTCTACTTGTTTTCTAATTAATTTTAACGGGGAGTAGCTTCATATATGCTGCACTTTCTTCTACCAACTCCAGTAACTTGGTGTTTCTTTTTTACTTGTGCTGGCTTAGCTAAATGTCCATTTCTAGTAGACATGTTCTGTATGTTGTTCTCAGTTAATGAATCTTACAATAATGGCTAAAGATGGTCATTTGCGTCAAAATAAGCATTGATATTGTTCATCCTCATAAATATCATTAAGCATTATTGGCATTAGTTGTCGGAATCGCTATTACTTTGCATGAGGTTCTCAAGTGGTGTTTCCTGTAGATCATGATGGAAAGGGATACAGGCCGTCCACGTGGATTTGGGTTTATCACATTTGCTGACCGTAGGGGAATGGAGGATGCAATCAAGGAAATGCATGGACGGGAAATCGGTGATCGCATCATCTCTGTCAACAAGGCACAGCCCAAGATGGGAGGTGATGATGTAGACCAAGGTTACAGAGGTGGCTACTCATCAGGTGGTAGGGGAAGCTATGGCACTGGAGACAGGATAGGACAGGATGACTGTTTCAAATGTGGGCGTCCAGGACACTGGGCCCGAGATTGTCCTTTGGCTGGAGGTGGTAGGGGTCGAGGTGGTGGTTCGTTTGCTTCGCGTCCTAGGTTTGCAGCTGGTGGTGGACATGTTGATCGCCTTGGTGGTGAACGTGATCGATACATCGATGATCGTTATGACGGAGGACGTTATGGAGATAGGGATCGTTTTGACAACCGTGACTACAAATATGGTAGCCGTGACCGCTATGCTAGTGACAGGTATAAATATGATTACTAAAATATTGCTTTGGTTATTTTGCCATTGTTTTGAAAAACTACTTTTTTCTTACTTCACTTAATTGAAAATATGGCAATTACAAAGACTCTGATCGCATAAAAATTTACCAGTTATCTGGTTTTCCTTCATGTAACATATGTTGTTTCTTAATGAGTAAAATGGAGCAGTACCTACCTGTATTGGATATGTATTAACTGAAAGTGTTGTAGGTATGCAAGCAGCGGAGAGCGATTTGCAAGTGATCGATATGGAGGTGGATCAGATAGTTACCCACAAAATGGTTATGGGAAGGAAAGAGGGTATGAGCGATATGGTGGTGCACGAGGTGGTGGTGATAGGTATGGAAGTGGAATGGCAGGTCGAGATGAAGGAAGGAGTTATAGGGGCAGACCTGGTCCATATGACCGTCCAAGCAGGGGTTCTCGTCCATCACTTGATCGCTACTGATATCACTGGATGGATGCAGAAGAAGCCACATGATTAGAGAGATCTAGTTCTTGTTATTGTTACGTAGGACATCCCAGGATTCTAGTTTTATAGGTTATGGATTTCGTAGTCAGTTTCCTTATTTAGATCCTGTTGATTATGCCCCCGCGTTTGCTTGACGCTTTGACTACCTTCCCTAAGCATGATTTACTGCTTCGTTCCAAAATTTGTGCTGTTACACTTGTACTATCTGCCACAAACTATTTCTTTCTCAAAAGCATAAAACAAACACTTACACTGTGTTTGGTACGAATGAAATAGCGAAGAAACAATGAAGAGAGAGAGGAAATAAGTGATAAGAAATAAATTTTCACTTCTGTTGGTGGTTTATCCTAACTCAGGGAACACCACATTCTGCGACGCCTTTTTCACTGCGGCCATTTTCTTAAGCATTGCGAGAGTTAGGATACCTCACTGTCCCTTTACTGTAGGTGAAGTCGTCGAGGCACTTGTAGAGGTTGCGTTGAGGAGAGTCTGGGAGTTGTGTTAGCGCTTGGAGCCCACGGTGGCTTGGTAGAGGTCGGCACTTGAAGACGAAGGAGAGGGTTGAGACACAAAGGTGTGGGTTGTGTCTTCGTATGTGGAATTAACAACTCATTTCTCTTTCTTTTTTTTTATTATCTTATTTCTTACTTATTTTTCTTTTTATTTACGAAAATATTTTCAAAATGATTACATTAGGGAGGAAAATAACGCTTCTAATTGGGAAGTATATCCCACTAGCTGGACGAAGGTGCTGTGTATGGTGGGTGGTGTGATAAATTTATAGGCCAATGGAGTGGGCTCATGCACCTCTTTCATTGTTGAGTTGCTGAATGGATACATATAAACAAAATATTACTATTTTAATTTTAATATAATATTAAATACAAAACAACATATTCATATTTCTTGTAATATTAAAAATTAAATTTATTTATAAATTTTTTCATTTAACTTTTAAGTCCTAACATAAATATTAAATCAAATGTTATCAAATTCAAACAAACAATAATATTTAGCCTTAATTGAACTCAGTTACAAAATTTTTGTTTTTTTTTGGCAAATTTTGCTTTTAGTTTTTTTATTTATTTATGAATTATCTCCAAACTTTTAAATTTTGTCGATTTATATCATTTTGTGTATTGATTGTCGAAATATTAACAGTGTTGATGTGACATATTTGACGTAATAATGTGAAATGTTTTAAAGTGATTTAATTGCATTTTTTTTCTCATAACTTTCACTTTTTACCAAATTTTGTTTTAAAGTGATTTAATCACATCCAACGTCACAATTATCATGTTACTTTTAATAGTAACATGACACAATTAAAAGATATAATTGGTTGGCAGTGTAAAAAAAATTTACACGGATAATATATAAGTGATTAACTCAATTTTGTTGCCAAATATTTTTTTTTTACAATTTATGCTCTAGACTTTTAAATTTTGGCCATTTGTACCCTCCTCTCAATTGTTTGCTAAAATATTAATGAAGTTTTTATCAATTGTGTTCTCTAATATTATAGAAATTGATGGTTTAATTCAATATAATTGTGACCTTTTTATATACTTTGGAGTTTTTTTTTTGTATACTTTGTCTATACTTCTTATGTACACATTAACTTCAATGAAAAGTTCAACTACAAAACCTAATTGCTATTTAATTAAGATTGTTCATAACGAGGGATATTTGTGGTCTTGAATAAAAACAAATTAGCAACTATAATTAAAAGTTAAACATATAATTAGCATATAACTAGGTTTGGAGCATTCAAAGTGTAAGTTCTCATTTTTTCTTCTATTAAATCAAAGACTTATATAATAACTTGATAGATCACTACATTTGATATAGCATAATTACTACGCAATGGAAAACATAAATTAATCAACTATACTAAGATTATCATGCAACAATCACTTGAATATTTATGAGACACACACACACACATACACACACACACACACACACACATATATATATATATATATATATATATATATATATGTGTGTGTCTGTGTGTGTGCGTGCATATATAAAGTGCAGAAAATATAAAATAATTCCTGCCAATTTAACTGAAAAACATAAAGTCCCTCAAGGGGTTACATATTATTCTTGTAGATATATATAATATACATCAAATATACAAGATTGTAAATAAGATAACCCTATCACCAATTAATATCTCTATACACCAATATTGCATCAAAATAGTATATTCAAAATTAGTCATCTCTAGCATGACCATCCACCAACAAGTCAACCATTCAAGCTAATTTTGTCTTACTCCCATATCAAACATGATAATTACAGTCTAATTATGAGGAAAGGTAAGTTTGTGAAAGAATCAATATCATATCAGTGAAACTACATTATACAACATAGACAACTAACAACATCAAGTTAGCTCATAGCATGATATCACCTTACTATAACTTTCAATCATCAAATATAACTTACAACATGAACAACATTCTCAACATAAAACAACTTTAATCACAACATAAACAACTTTAAACAACTAATGTATCATAACACATATCAACTTATGAAGATCTTTTACAAAAGAGGTGAGTAGTTTAAGTGACTTAACCTTACCAAATCACAACTACTTGACCTATCGCCACCAGATCAAGTATCAACAACATTAGGCCTTTCTGATCACCTAATAACAACTTAAAATGAATTCTTAAGTTTTGCCATATAAACTATGGAAGTTTAGTATTTTTGTTAGGGTAGAATTGCTTGAGTATGAACCTACCACAACCTTAGCATGTATATCTAAGCCTTGTATGACATTATTTGTTAACTACCTTCCAAATACTAACCACCTTTCCAACAATCAATTAAGAATTTTACTCATCGACTTCATATCTTACTCAGTTGGTGAACTTCATACACGTATGGCTAGACTTGGTCCCATACGACTCTACATTGATCACTTGATAATCAGTATGGCTCAATTGTGCTCCCATACTATTCCACATAAAACCTACATTCAGGAGCCAACTTATTCACTGAATGATTTTCAACTCTAAATTCTCAAAACACCACAACTTATATCCACATAATGGAATGTTTTAATTTTTAAAAATAATTTTACTCTCACCTAATTTTTATGTATCTCAACTTAGACATGTATTTCATCACCACATGTTTATACAACTTAACATCTTAATCAATTAACAACTTACAACTTCATCAACTCTCATTCATAAGCAAAATTAAGCATTCATTATAATTTTTTTTAGATCAATTCACAATGGACTATAATCATACAACATCAAAAATCTCGTGTAATCAATATATTGTACTCATTCTTAACACTTAGTCAAATAACAAGTTTTTCATTTAGCAATCCACGTCTGGCATCATTCTTGTAACAAAATCATCATTTAGCCTGACATCACTCATCTTGAGTTTGGCGTCATCAAGTTATAGAGCTTCTCGAGAAATCACATCCAACGTCTCTCATTTCATGTATAACGTGATCAAGTCAAAGTGCTCCTCACTAACCCACATCCGACGTTACCAATCTCGCACTCGACGTTGTTAGGATAGAAAGCTCTTAACTCAAGTCACGCCCAACATCATGAAGGCACATCTAACGTAATAAAAATTTCTACATTTGACAGAATCTTATTTTGACTCAACCTACAAATTTCATAGCCAAACCAACATGCAATACAAATTTTAACATATACACAACTCATATAACTCATTTCCATCACAAGATACCACATGTAACCACCAAAACTCAAAATCATCAAGTTTTTCTTCAAAACAACACTTGGAACAAAATTAAACTTCTAATGATTCAATCATATTTCAACCACTAAAAGGAACAATCTTAGACAAAATTAATCAAATAAATATCAATAATATCAACTAACAAACTTCTCTTATCTCAAATCGCTCAAAACTCAAGAAAAGGGAAAAAAAACTAGAAGCCTCTAGAATTGTCACACGACTTTTCCAAGTCGGATTCTCAGCTCCCAAAGCCTTGAATCACCAATTTCTCAACTCAACTACATGAAGGGTCTAGAAGGAATTGTGAAATTAGAAGGAGAAAGAACTTCTCTAGCTTCAAAGTCTCTCTCTTTAAGTTTTCTTAAGATATAAACTTATGAAATTCATGTCTTAAGAAAAAATCCATATATCATCTCTAAACTTAATCAACTTGATCCTAACTAAAGCTATCTTAACAAAACTTAACTCTTAAGAATTTATTAATCTTTACAACTCTAAAATATCAATAAATACAATAATTCAATAATTAATCAACAAAGCTTAAATCATACAATATTACAACTTATAGGTTTATAGGTTTGTGCACACAAATTGCAATCTCATTAAGCACTTACTTATACAAAGTTCAATTTATGCTGACATAATTAATAGGATTGGTTTGGTGACAATACTTAAATATTTTTTTGGAGGGTACAATAATATTGAATATTTTCAATTAAAAAAAATTCTACACCAATCAGTTTGAAGAAGTTTTTGTCGATTTATCCAATTTGGGATTTGTTCAACTAATTTAATATTATCTTTGGTGTCTTTTATAGGAAATAAATGATAATGTAGCTCATACCATCATTTGTTTATTACAAAATTTACCAGAGCCACTTCTTTGCAAGTCTAATTTTCACACTTAAATAAATCGAGGGTTTGGTGTCCGTTATTTAGTTTGACCAGGAGGCTTGGTCTACCTCATAACACTTGTATTTACATATTTTCTTTTTCTTTTCACATTCTCTTTCAATTCTGTAGTGTTAAAAAATATTATTTTCCGTAAATTGATTTTTGAAAATTTTCAATTAGTAAATGTGTCATATTTTAGTTTTCAAGTTATATTTTTATTACAAATTATAATTATTTTTTAGAGGTGTTAAAAATTTAATAATTTAAAAACAAAGCGTTAAATTTTTGACATTTTAAAAAACTTTAGTTTCTAAAATAAAATAAAATATAAAAAACTCCAGCCATGAACTTCACTCCTTTATCGTTCAGTCACCCACTTAGAGAGTATTAGACAAAATATGAAAGCTTATAAAATAGTTTAATTAACTTATAAGTTAGTTTCATCCAAAATTAGTTTATTTGATATGTAGATTTATTTTAGTAGCTTATAATTTTTTTTTTCGGAATTACTTGAAAAGTAGCTCAAGTAGCTTGTGAAAATAAGTTAACTTCTATGTTATTATTTTATTATTATTTTTATTTTTGTTAATTTATTTGAAATTATATTTTTATCTCAAATAATTAAATCTGCTCTTATATTTATCAACTAATTTTATTAAATATTTTAAATTCAATAAATAGTGAAAAAAAAAATCAATCAGATGCTCAATTAGTGATGGAATGGATTGGCAATT